GCATTTAGTGTTGTTATTCCAAAATTATTCATAAAGGTGAACTTCGCAAAATATAATAGTGGGTTTGTATGGCCTTTTCTTTCTGTAGTCATACTGTGCATAAATACTGAAATGGACATTAGCTGTAACTTTTAGCAATTTTTTTAGTATTTTCAGTTCAATGTATCAGCCACAGTTTCTTTTTCTACTTCTCCACAGCATGCTAGAATATACAATCTTCTACTTGGTAACATACTCTGTATATGTGTATTAACAAATGTCATTGTCGACAAATGAATTCCATTCAACACTTGAAATAAATTTTCAACAATAATAATTCTGGTTTATCTTATATAGGCTGTGTTTGATAAGCATAATACCGAACATTTTTATTACGCTTTAGGGAGTAGAACAAGAAACTACAGCTGATACAACAAAACAAAACTACCCGATACTGAAACACTTGCCAAAAGTTACAGCTAATAAACTTTAAAAATCAGCTGACCAAACGTAAAAAAAAAATATTCTTTGAAATAATTTATTTTCAATGGAATTATTTTTTGCTGAAAACAGAAATTATGGATATCACTTGGATTTAATTTTCACTTTTGTTGCTGTACATGCATGTGTAAAGAATAGGAAATAAGAATTTTCACTTGGATTTAGCGAGGGAAATTCAGGTGCCCTGTGATCTGTTACTTGCAGAAGTGTTTCCTTATGCTCCAATTCAATGGCAATTTTACAGTGTTTTACTTCTGCTTTGGTATTCAGCTCTGAAACATTTTTGGTTGTCCATTAAAAATTAGGAAACAAAGGCTTTCAGAACAACAATACCTGTATTTTGTTTGGTCCAAGGTGCAATGAAACGTTTTCTTTTAATCCACGATTGTTTTAGATGCATTTTTAATTGTGTTTTGCTTAGTAAAAAAGGAAATCACACCATATTGCAGTTTTTATTTATATATATATGCACACCAGTATTAAATGCTGTTAGTGCATCCTTTTTTGTAGCTTTAAACAAGGACAAGCTTTCAGAGTACTAGTCCCAGCATGTCAATAATATGACAATGCATTACTTTACACAGACATGAAGGGAACATGAAATTATTTATCATCGTGGTTGGATGACAGTAGACATTTTAACTGCATACAACTATTTAATGTGAACGTTCAGAAGTACTTGTTTTAAAATGAAGTGATATTGCCTTACACTATGTCATGAAAACTTTAATTTGTTAAAAAACAGTCAGGAATTTAAATATATTTTAGTTAAACTTGAATTTCCTGTCATTTTCAAAACCTTCAAATATTACAATGAAAATAGAGAATACCATGTCTCAGATTGGCTGTTTACAACCGAGATATGTGGATAGATGACTGATTATGTTCTCAGTCTGTCATCTCAAAAGTTTGAGAAAAGTAACATGTTATCCATACAATAATGTAACAAACATTGAAATAAAGGCTATAAGGCCAAGAAAAAAATAAGTTTGTTTCTCCTCCTCACACTCATCAATTCCGACCTGCTGCGTGAACCGTTTGAAGTAGAAGCCCACCAAAATAAGTGACAATAATGCAGTGCACATGGTAGAAAATTTGAGTAACTGTAGGAATGTGCAGTGTACATTTCTGAATGACATGTGTGTAGAGGATCTGTTATGCTTATTTGCACACAAGTGATGGCAGAGTAAAACTGCAGAACTTTTGCTATACAAGAGTCCCACCCAGCAGCACTGCTTTGAATTTATCTGTGT